AAATGGATTTGCGTCTTTTTCTACAAATTTTAATATGATTTTTATATGCACAAATTTTATTTTTATTTTACCTGATTATACTGTTAGCCCGTATATCGTGAAGAGTATAAGAAAGTGTAGCTTTTTTAATAACTGAATTGAATTTAATAAATTGTTCAAATTCAGACATGCTTTTATATTTAAGATCGTCAGCTTGCAAGTGAAAAAAAAAAGAAAAAAAGAAGGGTTAAAGATGGTTTTTCTAATCTAAAATTTTATAATCTTTAGACTGGTTTGAAAAATTAAGCCATATTTTTACTAAATATAAACTTATTTTTGTTTTTATATTTCTATAATTTCATAAATATTTTTTTTCATTTTTAAAGAAAATTAATAATTCAGAACAATAATAATTGACTTCATGTGTTTTGTTTTTCAGCCAATAATATGTAATTTTATTTATTTCTTTATTTCATTTGCGTTCATTCTAAATTTTTAAATTCTGAAAAATACATAAGATTGTGAAAAATCTAATTTTTTTGCATTAAATATATTTTTTAACTATATAACGACAGAGTCAGATTTATTTTTTCAAGCATCAATAAATGTATATGATTAATTGCTTGGGTTTTGTTCGTCAGCATACTTTTTGTGATTTTTGACTACCTTCTTTTTTATGTCAGCATAAATAAACGAATCCCAATTTTTTTTTTTTNAAAATCCAATTTTTTTTTTTTTTTTTTTTACGATACTTAAGCAGGAATTTTGTGTTTCCCAAATGTAATTTTTTTTCTCACATTTGATTATTTTTGCAATTTACAAGGAATTATTTTTCGGATACTATTATGAAACTACTGTTAGATTCATTAAAAATTATTAATTTCAGCACTAATCTAATTCAAATTTAACGTTTTCCAAAATTCTATTTTAATAAGTCAAAGTGCATGTTTGGTTATTGCATCCAGCCTGAAAATTATTAGGCTTTATAGAAGTACAGGTGATTTTCCAAATTGCTTGGTGAAATACAAAATTACCTCGAAATTCAAAAAGAGTCGGACTTTCCAATTAGCCAAAATAAAAACACATAAGAATGTATTGAAATGTAAAAAAAATGCTACTACTAATAATTATTATTATTCTTACAATTTATTAAATAAAAAAAGAACTAACTAATTAAAATATAATTGTATATTCACATTAATTTTAGAAAAAAAATTTCCAATTTGTGACTATTAATGTAAATCGGAAAATTCAGTAATTCGCGAATAAAAATTGCCCTTCATAGTCGATGTTAAGGAATGCTGACAAACAATGTGAATCACCTGCAAAACAATTCGGGTAACATATGGTGATGAAGGACATGTGTTTGCCCAACAAATATTTGCAGGGATATGTCACGCGTTTTTGAAACTGTTACATTAACACACATCAGTGCGTGTTGCAAAATAACAGGCGGGGAGGCAGAGGGAAATGAACTTTTGTCACACACTGTTGACGATAGCAGGTAGAGTGCTATTATGTTCCAATATTGTCACTTCTTTTATTTTAAAAATATTGCAGTTGATAATAAAAGAATTATATTGTTTCTAAATAAAGGGGGGAAAAATCACCTATGTAATTCATCTGGTGTGCAAATATTGAATGCATAAATGCGTTATAAGCTAAATTGGATAGTAAATCTTTTTATATTTATTACATAATAAGTTAAACGTTTAAATTATTCTCAGAAAGTGTTTAATATTATTTGTTTTGCGGTTGTTTTAACTAGAAAGAAATGTTTAGGAATTGATAAGAATGTAGTTAGGGGAAATTTTTTAAATTTTAAGAATATTTTTGTAATTAAGTCAGTTGAAGTGAGATCTGAAAATTTAAATTTTCATTTAGACGGAGGCCGGTAGACTCTAATAACTTAGTCACTTTTAACTAAAGCCACTTTTAGCAAACTTTTTTTTTTCTTTTAAAAATTATCTACGGCTATTAAAAGTTAATTCATCAATTAAAATAAATATATGTGGCGAAATTTAGTTAAGCATAATGATTTTAAAGAACTTAATTTAAAAATATTTGGTTAGTATGGAGAGAGAAAGAGAGAGAGAGAGAAAAAATAAATTTTATGCATACATTACGTCATATCATTAAATTTATCATTAAACAATTTCCAGAAAAAAACGACGGAAAAAAGTGACCGGTTGTTTGCTTAATTTAAGTTACCACTTATTTTTATTAATTCACCAAGTGGTGAACGGCTCTTTTCAAGACTAATTAAGGTAGATTTTTCCTAATAAGTAATTTTAAAAATTTGCAAATCTAAAAATTGCCTCGCTGTATAACTGTTGACAACTTTGATTTCATGAGAAAGCTAAGTCAAAATACAAGTTTATAAACTAAATAATTAAATTATTTAATTAATATTTTTGATAAATCATGCTGAATGTGGCTTAGAAAGTTGCAATTTGAAAAGTCAGCTATGAACTTGCACTAGATAATTGTTGGACAAAAATATTTCGCAAATTAAATTTGGTGGACTTTCATACAATTTATTCATTCCTTGCGTGATTTTGTTAAAGAACCGGTTCTTTACTCTTGATTTTGTCCACTCGAGATTATGTCTACAAAGATATTGACCGGAACAGGAGAAAAAAAAAAACTACACGACAAAGTTATTGAAGTGCATGGTCTCAGCCTTCTTTATTCAACTGTGAGAAAATGTCCCCAAAATTCGAAGGAGAGAACAAAATAAGAAAAGAAAAAAAAAGCACGAAATTTTCAACGATGGTCCATTCTGCTTAGAAATTAATTCATGCCTTACCCATCATTAAATCTCAAGGCCTTTTTATCCATCCCTCTTGGATAATTTCAGTTGTCTCTATCATCTCTGATTTGAGGAAAAAGAGACGCAAAGGCTCATTATCGAATTATCGTTCTTCCCTCCCGATTTGAGACTACCAGGTAATTCGCCGATTTCCCCCAAATCACAGCATTTCAAATTCTTAAAAAAAAAAAAAAACGAAGAAAAAGGAAGGAAATTCTCATCATCATAGGCCTCCCCCACTTGGTTACTGTAATCATTTATTTCCGTTGGCGACAGACATTGGTTTGGAAACTGGAAAAAAAAGGTCGCCAATGTCTCTTCAGCAACCCTTATGGAATATGGCCGTAGGGCAGAGCGGAAGTCGCGAATTACAGACAACGACGGACACGCACTCGCAAATTAGCCGTCGACCAAGAGGAAAGAAGTAAATAAAAATGAATCTTATATAAAAAAAAAAAAAAAATAAAGAACCCATCCGGAGTTGCGTTGTCGGGGGTGGGAGAGGAGTTGTTTGTTATCTGGTAGTCGATTGTTCCCTATTAGAAAGTTCTAATATTTTTATTTTATTTCTTTGTCCTCCTCAAGGTCATGGACAGGTTTTTCTCTCATTACATATAAATGCTGTTCTAATCTATCTAGAAGATTTAAGACTTGTGTCCTGTATGTTACTAGATACTAAATCAAAATAGAAGTATTAAAAATTTTAATAAGTACCTATTTATTTGCATATATTTTAAAAGATAAATTTAAAGTTTCAGAATCGAACTATTCCCAGTCAAATATATTTTTATGGATAACCGTTTTAGAAAGAAAAAAAAATATTATAAATAATTCATAAAGTAAAAAGAAATAAAAACAAATTAAAGTCAACTAAGATGGGCAAGCTTTCCCGTCTTTTCCTTATAATTTATAAAAGAAGTAAATAGATTAGGAATTTTGCGCATATTTAAATAAGTTCAATTTCAGGTTTGTATCCTGCAAGTTGGAAGATATTAAATCAATCGTATTAAGTGTATTAAGTATTAATCGTATATATATATATATGTGTGTGTGTGTGTACTGCCTACTCGGTCCTTGGATAGAGATATGACTGATTCGAAATACTTTATATTCACAAAGACATATATAGTCATAATATTTCAAAAATATAATATTTGCGTAAAAAAAAAATTTGTTCGAAAAATGTTTGGCATCAGTTAAGATACTGATTTCGTTACTTGAATTGAGTGCTGTTTTTTATCTTATTTTATAGATGTCTAAGCTCTATAAGATTCATTCTAAACTACGCTTACTCTTGTAGTCTGAACGTAATGACCCGGAAGAACATGCTCCAATTAAAGAAGAGGATGGACAAGCTCAATAAGAGGAAAGTATGATCCCTTGATGCTGTATAATTGGACGCGGCCTTCTTTTATAGCTTTGGAGTAACAATGACAAATTTATTTGAATATTATAACAAGCGAATGTTTTATGCTGAAGATATTGGGTAGTGTTCATGACACTAATTATTAAAGTACTTTGATTACTATTACCATTGCATTATCATCTTAACTACTGAATAAAATTTAGACGAATTTTTCTTCTAAATGCTGGAGGTTAAATGTGCTGAAGTTTACTTTGCTACTTTCTAAAAAATTAAGTTCTACTATATGTAATCCTGATTCGAAAGGTTTTTACTAGTCGCTAAATTTTTATTTCTGAATTTTAATTGAAGGTTTCGAGCTGTTTTTTGTTTTGTCCGCATATGTATTATATAAATGGATTTACAAACGTATGGTATGGTAAATTAACACCATTATGGGAGAATAAAGAATATTTATTAAACAGTCGATGGCTTTTGCCAGTTGTTTATCTGACTGCTAAAACTTTTACTCAATATGTGGAAGTATTGATATAAATCGTCCAATGAGTATGCATGAACTATTGAAAATAAGTTTATAATTTAATAACTCACTCGTTGCCTTCAATCAACTAGGTCGTCATTTGAAAAAAAACATAGAAAATGATTTCTAAGAAAATTTCTACAACACTTTGAAAAGAGCGTAAGTAATTGTTTGTAAAAGTATTCAGATTTATCATTCTGTTTAAAAATGGCGATAATAGCTTTCAAATTTTGATAAGCTTTAAAATATTGAATAATGATACCAACTGTTATGATTTACGTTGCAAGAATTATGAAGCTTATTGTAATAGCTCAAACACAGCTTACCTAGGGGAGGTGAATATACTGCAGTTGTTTGTACATGCGATGTGAGACCAACATCATAAACGACCATTTCATGTTTCAGATGATCAGAGTATGTATCGGTAGTGTATTGAGGTTGCTGTAACGTTGTATAGTGCAAACCACCATTTGACAATGGAGATGGAGCACCACTCAATTCCACAAGCATAGATTTCTGAAGATCGTCTTGCTTTGACCATTTTGACCACATTTGCTGTTGGAAAATAAGAAAAAACGATGGCTTTTTTAATAAAAATGCGAATCGTAGCAGAGGAATAATAAATACTTTAATTAGCACTGCATCGATGAGCAAAAACAGTATATAATTACATTTTTAGGGCATTAATGTTTTATTGTACATGTTTTATAGAAACTAGTGATTTTATTTCAAGAAATTGAATACTGTTGTTTGAAATTTTATGTTGTATAGAATACTCAACTATCACAACGATATTTATTATCGGAATGAAAATTTTTTTTTAGTAAAACTGTGCTGTGTAGAAAAATAAAGTTTAATTCACATGTATAGATAAAGATTATTTATTTCAGAGGTACTCAAGTATGCAGAGGATGCCATACTTAGGTTCTATTAAATTTCTGTACCTTTACTATTAGGTTTTAAAAAAGTTCTATGGACTACTCTGATTTTTTTTCCCTTCCAAAATACCCTTTTACCTATTTTTATTAAGTTCCTTTCTCTTGTAAAAATAAAATAATACTTCAAAGTATTTCTTAATAATATTTGTATGTTTACATTAAATTTTAGAGCAATTGTGTGATTAAACTAATAGAGATTTGTAAGCTATATTGGGAAAAAAATATCTGATATTAATATTACTTTAAAAACTTCACAATGAAAATACTTTGTTTAATCCTTTCTACTATTTAAACATAGCCAAATTGAATTGCCTGCATGAAATTAATCTATTCCCCCCAATATTGCTGTTTTTATTTTAAAAAATAAGTTTTTACACTTTTTCAATTTTCAAAAATTGCAAAGTTCATTTTGCAGAAACTAATCTTCCTTGAAAACAAAGTTTCTAGATGGGATCGCAACTGGTTGCGGTTCAATTACTGCATCAAGCATCAGTTGCAATGTCAACAGAAGCTAATTTAATCAATAACGTTAAACCTACCGAATTGTTATAAAGTTGATCTCCGTTGAACTGTAACCTTTGTCGTTTAGCTTCTTCTTCATCTTCCTGTTGCTGTTGATGATGAAGAGAGGCAATATCGCGTTGATCTGGCCCCACTGAAAATAAATATTAGGTCTTTTAATGTTTGATTCGAAATTGTTTTCTCTACACAGAACGAAACTATACAACACAAGAAGCTGCTCAAATATGCTTATATTAGTACTAAACACGTAAAAGGAACAAGACTGTCCGGTGAACACGAGAACTTCTCCAGACACCAGACTTTCGTGCTAGTGGTTTCCCTGGTTACGAAGCTAGGTAACTTCGAATAGAGGCGAGGAATTAATCATTTCTCATTGGCTTAGGGCAAAGGGGCCATGTCCTCTCTTAATTTTTTTTCTCATTAGAAATGGTTTAACTTATGTTTCCATTGCAGCAGACTTTCAATCGCGAGCAGTTCTCGTGTTAGTTGGACAGTATGTGGCTTATTTATTTTGGCTGAAAAGGTGATTACACAATTTGAAATTGTAAAGCGTTTTGAATCACGATTCTGAGCAAATTTTCTGCCATACATTATCATCCAAATTAAGCCATCTTAAATTTGATTATAGAAATTTTGGTTCAAATTTAACGGAGATAGGGTTCATTTTAGTATTTTTATTAAGGTTACAGCAAATTTAATCGTTCTTATGGTTCAAAGTTGAGCAGATTCTAAGACTACATTTGAAGAAAAAAATGTCTTTCATAGCTACTTTTTTGAGGGCAAAAGGGTTCCAAAAAAATCAAAAATATGCATACTAATATTTGAACTGTCCCTAACTTTAAATTTACATATCATCTTAAAACATTTATAAACAAAATTAAACTTAGGAACAAACAAAATAATTAATAACACAAAAATATTAATTTCAATGTACGAAAAAGAAACGAAATTACATTTAAAAATCTGTCGTCCTATTTAAAGAATTTCAGAAAAATTAAATAAGTTTTTTACTTTTTTGATTCCTTACTTATTTAAACGAACGTTAAATGAAATTTCCTAATTATATTTCAATATAACTCACTCATAATATTATGAATAACGTATGATTTTATAGTAGAATAATGTAAGAAGATTATTTTCTTAAATAAAGAAAACAAGACATTTATACAAAAGAGAATTTTTTAAAATTAAATTCTTAGTGAATAAATGCAATTCTCATTAGATGATTCAGATTTAAACAATAATATTTGCAAAACAATTCTCAAATTATTATAAACCTAATCTGCCAATCTACTGAGAAAATATATCCGAAGGTAATTTTTCATTAAAAAAAGCAACTTAAAACTTAATCTTGTTTTAAGTTACTGAAACTTAAAACGTAAAACAATTTATAAAGTTTAGAACTTTCTTTAAAAAGTTTAGAGAATGAATTAAAATTTGATATAAAGTATCTATAACTTGTTTTGTTTTAAAAATCACTCATGAAATAAATAAGTAAATAATGAAACGTTCCTTATTTCCATATACTTTAATGAAATGCAGTTGTGCATTCATAAAGTAATCATTTTAATACAGGCACATAGTTCTAATACTTAAATTTAATAGGTTAGTTTTGTTTTCTTGTGTTTGATCATTAGGACTCATAATAAATGGTTGCGACGTTCATAATCCTCAGTAAAATATAAACTTACAGGAGTATTTATTTTCTTAGTAAGAAAAATTTTCGGAAATGAAATGCTGCCCCAATATTGGTCGCGTTTTTTAGCCATCATAATCGTCGGTCGAACTTTAAGTTAATAAGACCTCATAACGAGCGCTGTCGTTATTGGGCGCTCCCGTTTCAGGTCAGTGCGTCCGCTTCTGTGCAATTCTCTGCCACAAACATTGAGCATTTATGTCTGTGTATGTACTCATAAGTGGGGAAATCTATTTTATTTTTGATACGAATTCAAACGATACATTTTGTGTTCAGCTGTAATTTTGTGTTTATGAGCGTGCGGGATAAACAATTTTTCTATATCCTTGAAGTGAGAAGATATGATTTATTTACCATAAGAAAAATTTTTGTAACTGTTTTAGGACAGTAAATTTTATTTTATATCATATCTCTTTGCTTTCCGTAAAATATGGATTTTATTTAAAAATGAGGTTTCATACACTTGAGAGAAATTTTGTTCAATAAATAATGTTTTACGTTAAAAAGAATATATATATAATTAAGAAATAAATTCTATAACGATTTAAAGTTTTCTACACTCATAAAAAAGGAATAATCATAACGAAATATTTTATGTATCTCTTACAGTCTTTAAAATGATCAATAATAAAAGAATTGTTTGATTGATCTGAAAATCGTTTGACTCATATGAAATAGAAAATCGTCTGATGGATATGAAATAAAAGAAGAAAAAAAACATCTGTTTATTTGCTAAAAGAAAAATCGTCTGATGTATTGATGGAAATTTGTCTTCTTGTTTGGCAACTCGCAAAAATTAAATTAAAAAAAATGTTTCTGCCAGCGAGAATACAATGTTAAATATGCTGTAAATTCTGGATAAAATATTCAAATTAAATCAAAAGAGAGAGAGAGAGAGAAAAAAAAGGAATTTAGTCAATTCAGTTAAAAGTATTAGTAACAAAGTAATTTTTTTTTCTATTTAACTGTATAGGTATTTCACAGCATTCTGTTTCTTCTTCCACACGCTTAGAAAGTAGGATGCGCAATTAGAAGGAAATTTCGCACAATTATGATGATAGAGCGTTCCGCCTTATGCATCCAGAAGTCGGCCGCAGATTTTCTTCGCCTTCCGTGATGAAATTATTCACCTTTTATTTAATACGAACGACCTCGGAAGCGAAACATCAAGGGAGTTTTTCAGAAAATTATCAGGAATTCTTTCTTAATTTTCGAATTTTAAGCTTTGTATATCGTTGCATTTAAAAACTCAGTAAAATAAATTACTATGATTCATTGGACGGAATAATTTCACTATAGTACGAATGTCATACTTTAAAGTAGGAAGTGGTCAGGAGTAGTAAAGTATAGCCGTGAAAATTATATATTTATATCGAAAATCCAATTTGTTATTGATTAGTTGAGTTATTTTAAAAAGTTAACAAATTTGCTTACTTTATATTTATGATTCTTTTTATTTAAATCGATTGATGGCCCTTGGGGGTTTATGGGAACTAAACCAAACATTTAACAAATCTCTAAAGCTTAGTTTGAGAAAAAGCAAAATTTTAATGAAGTGTTGAGAAAAAAAAAGTAAATCATTTCCGAAAAACATATAGTGTTTGTAAGCTGAAAAATTAAATAAATAATTACATCATTTGTGTGCAAAATTCGATGAAATTTGCACCTTCTAAAAGTTTCAATACATCAAAGATTAACTTTTTATTTGGAACTTAAAACGCGCTTTTTAACAAATTGATAAAGCTTAAAATTCATGTTTAAGAAAATAGACACATTTTGATATTCGCGCTCAAAAATATGTGTGTTTAAGAAAATAAATACAATATTTGATTCTATTTTTTAAACTACCATTATCACTAGTTCCTTTAAAATAACTGCTTTTATTTCAAGATATGATTGATGATATGATTTTACTCTAGCCATAAACCAAAAATTCTCCAACAATAAAATTTATTTTTAGTTGCCGTTACCAGACTTATTGTTTACAAATTTCATACATTTTTCCTTAAATATTCTTTTGATTCTTTCTTTAATAGTTTGAATTTTAAAAGCAGCTGAGATTTTAAACGTTTATCTATTTCTAACTATCAAATAGACTTTTCTCTATGTAAATATATATAGTAAGTTGTTAAACATAGAAACATAGTCGACTTATCAGATTTTTTTAAACTAAATTGTTTAACAATGAGCAATAAAAGTATTTATGTAGTAATACGTAAAGATCATATTTAAGTTCCATAAACACATTTTTTTGATTAAATTTAGAGAAATAGATAATTTTATGATAAAAGATCTATTCTTCTTCTCTTAATAAATGGTTTTTACACCAAACGAAATAAAAATAAACTCGCATTAACAATGGAAAAAAATGGAATGTTTCTAAGAGAAAAGAAGGTAAAAAAACCGGTCATAATACTACATTTGATTCTCAGAATTATTTTGCCTTTATTTATTTTTTCGTATATGTATCCAGCTTTTATTTCTTGCGAATTTTTATCCTCTAATTCCAGTTAAGTCAAAAGGTATTTTTCTTAAGTTACCTCAACCAGTTTCTTTCTTTTTTTTCTTTTAAATTGTTAGTTTATAAAATGTAAACGAAATTGAGAAGAAAGTGAAAAGAATAAGTGCAAAAAGGAGTTTGGAATTATATTATAAAGTATATAATTTTTTAACTGGTATTTATATTTAATAAGTTTTTTTTCTGTTTCATGAAATTCATAAGTTTAATTACTCTCCAGCTGAATTTGAAAAGACAATAATTTACATTAAACTGGTTTTAGATAGACTTCTTTCAGATGCGTGAAAAAATTCACATGAAAAACTACCTTGAAAACCTCACATGAAAAACCTTTGCAAAACCTTTGGGGAGGCTACTGCTTTAGGTGCAACTATATGCGTGTATTTACAATCGTTGATATGATACATAAGAAGCATCATCACGACAATAGTTTATTTCACCAAATGAATACATATTACCCATAAACCTCATCTAATTCATATTCAAGTAGAAGATAACATAATAAAAGTATAAAATTTGTATTTATTTTTTTAGTGTAGTTTTTCATTTCATGAAAATTTATGAATTCATATGAATTTATGAATTATGAATGAATTATGAGCATATTTTCAAATATTAAGGTTCAAAAAGTCACCTTAAACTGCTCTTAAACCAATGAAAACCTCACGTGAGATCAATGGAAGAACTGAAATAAAAATAACCTACTTGCAAATTAATTGAGTATACTATTGCTTGAGGTTAAACCACATGGGCGCATTATTACAATCTCCGATAGGGTGATTAATTCCATAAGCTTAACATTACCGACAGAATCAGAATATCTCTTTTTCATCAACCTAATAGTCTTATTGCACATAAATCTCATCTATTAAAGAGATTAAGAAAATGTATGTCTATAATTTTATAAATATATATTCATTTGATAAGCGTCTTGTTTCGTTGAAATTTATGAATTCGAATACTCTTGATTGAACAGAATATTAATTTTAACTAGGTTTTTCGAAGTTCTTTCGCCAAGGAAAATGAAAAAGCCACAATTTAAGTGCTTTACACTTGAAACTAAGCTATGAATTTAAACTGTATATGTCATCTTGCTGTAAAAAATTATCTGGGATTTTGAACGGTCAAATAATTGAAATATTTTAAAAGTTATTTAGCTTTTTTAACAATCGCCTATTTAGCGACATGTTTCCACCTAGATGAAAATTATCGTAAGCAATACTTTATTCCCCTTTCTTGCAAATTTTTATGAACCCAGAAAATACAACATTGGAGTAAGTTTCTAAATATTAAAAAATTAGACCACAAGCTCTTTTCATTTTCTCAAAACAGTGGCTTTTCTCCATATTGGCGTTTTTCGCCATTTTCAGAATAAAAATAGTGGGCGCTGGTTAAAGATAAGCTAAACGGGACCTAACGCCATGAGTAACTATTGCCAGCTCGCATCAGTTATGAAAACAGCATATTTTGGGTAAGCCACAACCTGAGATTAAACTACATACACATTACAATTGTCGATATGGTAATTCCACATGCTTAACATTACCACATGATTATTTCCGTTTTTCACTAACTAGCTTCTTTCACTACAAATAACTGTCAACTGTTAAAACGAGAGAAAAAAAAATATTGAGCATGCCACTGTTTGGGATTAAACTACAAGCGTGCATTACAATCCCAGATATAGTAATTCCATATGCTTAACATCACCACCAGAATATTCTTTTTTTCATTAACTGCACGGCTTCACTGGGTATAAACCTCATCTGTTAGGTGGTTCAAGGGGAGGGTAACTTGATAAAAGGAAGTGAATGAATAGATGGGGAACTTTATCATAACATATAAAAGAAGGGAGGGGGAGATGGTAGTTTATAAAAGTGATCTGAAAAAGTTGGTATTCATGACTTTCATAATTGATTGGCGAGCGCGATCTCAGTTGGGGCTGTCACTGGCCAATAAAACGGTTGCTCTGCGTACTCTTTTCAATTAAAAGGACAGATCCAGAAAGGTTATTATAAGAGGACATGGGGGATAGTGGTTTACAATAGCATCCAATCGGGTGGAACATTTTTCCTTACACTACAAACGTTCAGGCACGTCAATCAAAAAAGGGCTCTTCAAAAATTAAAATAATAACTTGACAAACAAACTTGACAAATAAATTTTAAAAAAATGTTGTAACTAATATTCCATAAGTGATTTTATTTATTTATTTTTTTTTATGCTAAAAGAAGTATTCATTTGTCTAAATTACGTTAAATATATTTTAATATGAATTAGTTTCTTCAAAACGGAGACCAATTTAATGATATATTCTAGATAGATTATTACAACGATGTTATCAATGCTTTTGCAAAAGCTATATTTTTTTGCAGAAGTTAAAATTCTTTGGATTACGGATTAACTGAAAAGGGACTAGTGTCCAGTTATCTCTCGAGGAATTGCAACTGAAAATCTGAGGTTATCGTGCTTTTATGGAAACAAAAGTAAAATCATTTATAATGGGAGAGAATTGAAAAAATATGACATGAATCTCCCAACCTAAGGAAACGGCTAACCCCAGACCCCTATTCGAAATGAAGTAGCTTATTTTAGGAACCACAGTAATCGCCAGCACGGCTAGAGGTGGCTAGAGGAGTTCTCGAGATAGTCGGCTAGTAATCCTTTTACTTCTCTGCATTTCCACTCATTTTATGTGTATACATGCCTGTTTGTGTTATTTTTGTTGTTATACTTTTTCGATGCGATTCATTTTGAGTTCATTTTTTTGTTTTATATTTTTGTAGTTTTTTTCTTCATTAATTAAAAAGAAAATAGTAATTTAAAACATATAGCACTTCTCAAATTTAACTCTTGAAACTATTTATTCTTTTTACCGATTCGCCTATTTACTGGATTACAACAAACATTTCTAAGCATTCCTGTTATTAATTCAACGAATTTGTCAAAATTTCTAGCAACCAAAATGTGGGTAAGAATGCAAACGATTTTTTAAAGTTATAAATTATTTGTCAGTCAGATCATTTAAAAAAAATACATTAAACGTTTCGAAAAAATGTGAAAGTAAGTGCTAGTTTTTTTTTCCTTCCTCTTTTTATTAACATATTTTAAAAGTAAGACAGCTTGTGACAGACATTATTTATTTATTTATCTTGGTTTTCTAACACGCATAAAATAAATAAACTCCTTAAGCCTTTTGTATATATTTGGGATATTTCAAAATTTATTTGTTTAAACAGTTAATTTTATTTATGAAAATAACGTTCTTTTTGAAGAATAAAATTAGAGTAATTGTTAAAAAATAGCTACATTTCAAACGATATTTTTATAGAAGTTTTTTCGTTTATATTTTTGGCAACTATCTTAACTAGATAAATTTTAGAACAATTTTTTGAAATTCATCATTAATTACATTAAATTATGTCTTATAAAAAGCGGAAAATCACTTCCAAATTAAATTTTTCAGTAAAATTACACTTAATAATTTGATTGTAATCAACTGGAAGAAGTCAAATTGCTGTTTTTTGGTCATTGGAAAACAAATTGTTTTACCAGACTTTTTTTGACTTTTACTTTTCAAATTCTTTTTCTAAAGAATATTCCTCCTTTTCTTTTAGGTAAGTAATAATGAAGCACTTAAGATAGATTATTTTAACATTGCTAATGCACAAGGTTTCGTAGTTTTTATTTAAAATCCTTTTTCCTACCATAAAAATTGATCAGTAAAAGTTTTGTGTAATTTAAACTTAGAATAAGTAGATTTGCTATGACATTATTTGGACTTTGAACTAATGTAAAATTGGGATAATGTAAAATATCTATAATAATTGATTTAATGCATAGGAATAATTTACTTAAACTCTAACTGAGAAAAAATCCATAACGTTTAATTTAGAAATAGAAGAAGCAATAATAATTCGCCATTTTTTTTAATCCTATTAAAAGCAAACGATGCAAACGACTTTCAAACTAAGAGAGTTAATATTTTTCCTTTTTCTTAGAAATAATATTTTATAAATTGCCACAAACATAGATACATAATTTCATTTAAATGCAATAAACTCTGTAAGTTCATAGCTCATTATAAATAATATTATTTAAAAACTATATAAATAAATAGCTTAGAATATTATTGTAATTTCTATTTAGAGTAAATCAAAGCCAATATCAAATAAAAATTATTTCCTTTTACTTGCGTTACGATCACGATTTTTTACTTGACAGTTTCTTTGTGAATGATTAAATTGATGTTCTCTATTGCATTTAAGCAATTTTATCACGGATCATTTGTGCTAATCATTACGAAATAGCCATTCAGTAAAGTACTCACATGGATCATTGCTGTCTTGGTCATCTCTTTTCCTTTTATTGCTATTGTTTTCCTCCAGAGGATTAGGAATACCGAGAATACCATTAATAGAATAGGACGGCCTTTGGTCTGGGTGAGAGTTCACGATGACTGTTGATGTCATTTGTGGACTTGGACTATTAGAACTGGATGTCACAACGTGTTTCGCTTTTTCGGCAGCTTTGTTGCGAACAATCCTATTGACAGAAATAAAGCTTAGTTTTATTTATGAATTAAGCAACAAGCATAAACAGTGCAATAGTAATAATCACTGAATTTCTATAATAATAGCTGAATGAAAACCGATACATCGGTATTTTTTTAATTATCACGTTAACAAGAAGCATGTGAAAAAGTTGTGTATATATTTCTTTTTCTTAAGAAATTAATTTTTATTTTTCCAAATTTAGTGAAAATATTTAAGAAAGAATTTTACTTCCGTATTTTTACTTTCAAAACTGACAAAAACACTTTTTGTTAAAAAAAAATCTTCTAATACTTTTCGAAAGTAGGTCTCTTAGTAGTCTTTTTTTCTCCCATTTTAGCGCTCCTAGTACCCTTGACACTTTGCATGTTTTAAACTTATAATGTAGGTACACATAGTTTACCTTAATATATTTTGTGTTTGAATTTATAAGTGTTAAAGCTATAGGCTAGTAAAATACAGCCTTTACTGTAAAGCTTCGAAGCATTTTTTAAAAATTTTATACATGTATATGTATATCATATAAATTATGAGATTTGTCTTAATCCTTTTTAAAAAAAATATCAGAAGTTAGCTTAAACTATTAAAATTTATCTTATGTTATTGAAACGCCTTGAACCATAATAACGTACAAACAATGTAAAAAAAGGTTTCTCTAAATTAGGCAAAAATTTGTCAAAAGTTCTCAGGAACAAATATACTCGAATTCGAAAACTCTATGTAATCGAAATTGAAACAGCATGCTGCACTCATTTTGAGCAAAATGCATAATCTCAAAAGTGATGTGGAAGGAGAATGTGAGAGAGATGTTCGTTGGCTGACAGCAAGATTAGAACCAAGGACCTCTAACCACCGCAGTTGTACATTGCAGTCAAAGAAGAGTTAAGAAGCTTTATATTGTGCTCACTGCAATGGCACATTATGACATATTAATTTCTAATTTCGATGATACTAAGGATTGCAATTAAGTAAAATATGATGTCAATAGCTTAGTCTGAAAATCGGTAATTTTAATTTCATTTTTTGCTTTATTATCTTAAAGACTTGAAAGCTAATGAAATGCATGTCATGATGGATGTATCACTGCGGTGACACAGTTAAAGCTTCCTAACTTTCCCTAGATTGAGGTGTACAGCTATGATGATTCAAGCATCATACTCCAAATTCGGAGGTTCTTGGTTCGAATCCCGCTGTTAGCCAATGAACATTTCTCTCACATATTTCTTCCTTCACATCACTCTTGAGATTATGCAGTTTGCTCAAAAATGAGTACATGCTGTTTTAGTTTTCACTACATGTGGTTTTCAAATTCGAATGTACTTGTTTTGGAACCATTTTGACACTTTTTTGCTCACTTTTGAGAGATCCTTTCTTTTTACAGTGATTGCAACAGCAAACGTGGAAGTATAACATTATTAAACTTGAATACACTATAAAAAAAATATTTTGTAGAAAAAAAAATTCACTTTAACGCTTTTGAAGATGGTAGTAGAATCTTTGATCACAAACTTACGATTTAAATTTTTTTTGCTTTTTTTTGTTTCTTTTTTTTGTTCACTGAATGTTAAAAATATGGTAATGTCGCTTGAGTAAATATTTTATACATAATTTTTTTTCCCAATAAAATTTTCATAATTTTTGTAAAAAGTAAAAACAATTTAGTCTAATAAGCTAGTTTGTAAAGACACGCTAAATTAAATTTAGCGTCAAAAAGTAGGTATAGATTTTGTAATTTATTCTTTTGAAAAAAAAAAAAAATTAAATGAGCAAGCTGAAGATAGACTAAATTACATCATTTCGCATTAAAAAAAAGAAAGAAAAAAAAAATACATTGAATGCTAGAAGTAATTCGTCTCAGTTTTTTTTTTCTGGATACAAGCCAGGGCTTCTACAAGCAAGGTCGTTAATTACAAAAGGAAAGTGAGAACAAAATGAAAACTTACCTGTTAATGGAACTGACTGAGGGAATATTATCTTGATCGCATATCCCATCGGCCAGGAGTCTGTCCCTGATTTCCCACGCAAACATTGTAGGATTTTGCTTTTTATAATTGGCAATAGCATCTACGACTTTGGGAGTAGCAACCTTTGGCTTACTACCACCTATCACACCTGGTTTTATTGAACCAGTTTCATAGTACCTTGAAGAAAATTTTCATGAATTAACTTAATAAAACGAAAGATGTATTGTAATTTAAAAGTCTTACATGATTTTTCAAAGTAATTTATAATATTTAAATTAAATAACATTCTCTAGTAAAGTAAGTACTTGGTTAAATAGAAATTAATAAAAGAAAAAATGAAAAGTGAGAGCTAGTAGTAGAATATACAGTGTAATAATCTAGAAGCATAAACTTTACAATTCCATTTTCATTCATATATTAAAAAAATGAATCTACAATTATTATAATTATTTTTATAATTATTATTATGATTATTATTGTAATTATTATTATGATTATTATTGTAATTATTATTACGATTATTATTACGATTATTATTATAATTATTATTATTATTTATATTAATTGATATGTACCTTCGTTTTTTTTATTAATTGATAATATCATGCAAAACTTTATACACTGTATGCATGTATAATGTACAGTGCGTAAAAAAAGAAGATAAAAAAACAGATTACTCTGTATAACTTTTGATCTATTGATCGGATGTTCACGTATTAGGACTCAATCTTAATAGTCTAAATGGATGACCTCAAATTTGCTACTTTATTAGTGCCGACGATATTTTAAGCTATGAAGTCATACACAAAAACGTACTTTTTCTAAATAAATAAACTTTTTTCCGATGGATTTGGATTTCTGATCCAAAAAATATAGGGGAGGGGGCGGTGTAGCCTTAATCTGGAAAATAATGTTCAAATCGTTTGCTCAGGTGAGCGGACTATTTGTTATAGTGGACTAAGTTTGAACCCATAATAATATATAATTTTTCTTTCAGAGTATTTTTAAGCGAATCGAAAAACTTTTGCATATAATTATGAAATTTGTTTATCCAAAGATAATGTCATGTAAAAACTTACTTTTAGTAAATATTTATTATTTTTTACTTAATTATAATTGAAAAATTTTTGAGTTGTAAGGGGCTCAAATTTTTATATCATTTTAGAGAATGTAATCTTATATGACAAAATAAAAATATAAACAAAATTGGTCAAAGCACCTTAGAAATTGAATTTTAAATATACGACATTTTTAAAATTTGATTTATCAGAAATTATCCGGACAATTTCGTTCAAAGTTTGTATTTTACCTTTTAAAGTTGACATCAAAATTTACTTTTTACGAGAAAGTATGGAATTTTTTATCCAGTTTCTATAAAAACTATAAGTCTAGAGCCCTTTATTTTAAAAAAAAAGAAAAAGCTAAATCTAAAAAAATAGCATAAGAAACTGAAAAAAAAATCAACTTTAAAATGACAAATGCATGACAAATCCTAGGAAACCAATTGAAAATTATTATTGTATTATTGTATTGAAAATCTTGAACAAATCTTAAATTAAAAGTATTTAAAAATTAAAGTTATTTTTTAGTTTTTAATTAGATATAGTTGAGTATAAATTAGTGTTTTTAAATTCTGGACAAATACTGCTCATACATTACTCATTTATAGTGATAGTATAACTTAGTTGCAACAAGTTTTTGGTAGGGTATACACCTCGTAGGGTATACATCTATAATGAATAAAAAACAATCAGTTTTTTTTATTCATTAATTTATTGCTATTTTACTAATGATTTCCATTTTATTTGTATAAGTCATGCACTATATACTGATTACAGACTAATGAAATTTACATGGCAGTTTTTTTAAAAAAATCTTTTGCTATGGGTAGTAGTTTTAGGAATAATACATTTATACATTTTGCTGAATAAAATATATAGAGAAATAAATGCTTTGAGTTTTTATTTAATTTGATTAATTAGTTAATATTGTTTATACTAAAAAAAACTACAACATCCATTTTGCAGTTACTTGGAAGTGGAAGAGTATGTTTTCGTTTGACACACTGCCTGCAAGTATATTCTATTTTAATTACAGTCGAAGATGCCAGACAGAAAAATTAAGTTAGTGTTTGAAATCAAAGGAATATTATGTTTCCTCTTACGTGAAGTCGCGGTAAGTTTCAAAGATTTCTTATTTTTTTATTTTCAAATCTTGGAGTAAACTTCTGGTGAAAGAAGCATCTAAGCCAATTTGTCTTCCCTACAGTTTTATTTGCAGTCGTCTGTAGCGACAAGTTCCGCGACTGTTTTTCTGATTCGCCACGCTTTTTTCCCTACTCTCACGTCAGACGAATTACCAACATGGTTTTCAAATGGAATATCAAGAAATAGGACTAAATAAAAAATAAAATTAAAAAAAAATTAGCTTATTTCTGTTTTAAATAAGGTACTCTTCTCGTATACGAATTACAGAAAATAAAAAGATAACTTGATGATAAAACCATTTGTTTGCTAGAAAAAATTAAATTTACCTTGAGTGAAAAATAATTTAGTTAGATAATAGTGGGCTGCAGCATTTTACAAACATTTCTACGATCAAAAGATAACTATTATAATAGAGTGATATTTTCAATATATTTTTTCTTCTTATTCTGAATAAAATCAATTGATTTAAGAAGCGCAATCAAAAGCAAAAATATTTTTTGCAGGTTTGATGGTATCTCAGAAATGTTTTGATTTTTATAGCATTCTGAAACGTGGTAATATTCTCTGTTTTTTCACAAGCATTTTCCATCACTTGTGCTGTGATTTTCTTCGAAATGGCATAATACTCTATGAAATATGGCAAAAAACTTTATTTGCTACCCAAGTGTTGCATTTCTCACAAGAATCAAAACGCAGAAATTTCTTAGAAATTATCTATGAACATGAAAAGGGAAGAATGGTATATATCCATGAAAGCTGGTCCATGAAAAACCTTACGGGCGTACAGAAAAGGTTTTTCCATAGTATCGCTCATTTTCACTGAGTAATAACTCTCATAAAGAGTTAATTTTTCACATTTTAGATTTGCCAAAACTTAGTAATCTTCAAAATAGTTTTTTTTTCCTCCTTTGTCTACATATGTTAAAGTTAGATTAGATTATCGAAGTTACGGAGTGAGCCTGTTTTTGACGATTTCGAACGTCTCTTTCTTTGCAAGCAAAATTAAGTAAATCTTCAACCCTTTATGTTTCCGTAATATATATTTGTGGTCCCCTTCCCCACCATTGTTTTATTTTATAAAACAATGGGGGGATTTTTATTTTATATTTTATAACCGTTGTTGAACAGTCGACCCAATGTTTTGGGTTTACGACTACTGATGTTCAACTCCGTAGATTTGTAATTTTGAACCAATCCAGAAGACAAGGAAACTCCTGGATCAGTACCCCCGGAGGTATGATTTGTTATGAGAACATAGAGGACTTTGAGACTCGACAGATTTAACGTGCATCAGTCACCATTTACTACACGGATTATATTATTAATCACCATTTACTTCGGCCGGCAATGATCAAACCCACCACCTCTTGGACATGGGCCCAGTGTCCTACCAACCAGGCTATCCCGGCCCATTGTTCAGAATTTGACAATTTTTGTAATTCACACGTGATTTTTGACGATAAATGGATTTTTGATTATGTATATCACGTAAGCATTACTCATATCCCACGTCGCATATTCATTCAATTATTAAAATAGTGACTATTTGATCTGATATTTGTGCTAAAGAAGTTTTTAGCAAGACCAATTTAGTAGCAAGCATTTTTCTATTCATCAGATCTAATTATAATTACAATTAGATCAAAAATTTGTTTTCAAATTTTTAACATTTCAATTGAATGAAAAAAAAGAAGGAAAAAAGGAATTAGAAGTATTGCTTCCTTCATCTCTGCCTAGAGCACTAGATCTGTCTCATTAGTTCCGCATTTCGTTTTCTGCTTCCTCACCTGTTGTTTGGTGTCAGGCTTTTCTTTTGATGGATGAGCTCTCACTTTAAAAAAAAACTCCTTTCATCATTTCACCCCTAACACTTCTCCTTCATTTTACAAGCAGTTCTGAACATTTTTATTAAGAAAACTTTTTTCATTAAATATCTCTGCTAATTCTAGATGTTTTCATCGTATATTACAGCTAATGCATGTGAATATGCCTAAACGAATTGTGCTTAAAATTAAAAAGTTATGTTTGTAATAATTTTTTTAAACTAAGTTAATAAAATGCTTTGAATTAGATTATTTTTCAAGCTTTCATTTTAATATTTTACTTCAATGTATACAAGTATTTTTATGCGATTCCCCAAAGCATTATGTTGCATAGCATGTTAAGGGTATATTTTTAAACAATGCCTGATTTGTTCCATATTTCTCTTAAATCTGGCTAAAATAAGCTTATAATTTATGGAATATTTTAGTTTCTTATGAACCTATTCTACTAATTATTTCACATAATTTACCCATTTTGTTGCTCATTTCTTAAATGTTTTAACTGATTTACAATAAATAATGTCACGAGAGGAATTTTTTATTTAAATTTTTATTTAATCAGTCTTATGAAATGAGTAGTGAGAGTTCTTGAAATTTACCTGCCAAGTATTTTGGAGACACAACCGTGCGAGACCCTAAGTTGTCGACTGATATCACATGGTCTAACACCTTGATGAGCTAATTCAACTATCCTTTGTCTTACCATGTCTGGTAATGGTCGGCCATTTACAAATACTCCACCTAATTGATTAACACCCCCATGACCTAAAACGAAAGAAAGAAAGAAAAGAAAACAGTCAATAACATAAAATTTTCAGGAACAAGACGAGTTGTGTGATAAGAGGTAATTTGTATTTCTGAAGGAAAAGGAAATAAAAATCCTACTCATTAAATTGAGAGCCTTAGAAGCAAAATTGCCAAATTGTAGTGCGGAAATTAGAAAATATTGTTTAAAAAAAATCCAAAAGGGCTGTCTTTTTTTAAAGAAAGAAAAAATAAATGATAGAAATTTAGGGTGAAAGTGTTATGAAAAATTGTTAATCAGTAGTATAAAAACATTTTGTATTTTTCAAACTTTTTTTTACATTAAATTATATATAAGTTAAACTCGCTAACAGTCAATGAAAGAAGTAACATATGCAATAACATATGCAAACTACATGAACAATATGCTAAGAGCAATATGAATAGTAATATATGTATTGAAAGCATAATATAAAAAAAATATTTGCGAACAATGTGTTTAAAAAAAAAAATTATGAAAACTTTAAGATATAAAAAATTTGTTCTATTTTAGTGTAAATAGCTTAAAAGTTATTATTTGTTCTTAAGTTATTATGTTCTTTAAGCATCATAGTTTTTAACAGCTATTTTTAGTTGAGGTTTAAAAAAAAAATAAAGAAGTGCAATGCAAAAGAGATTGATTAAAACAATTGTAAATCCATTTTAAGTTTCCCGAAAAAATTGTTATTAGTGAATGTTTCCATGTAGTAAATACCAAATACCATATACCTAAACAATAAGTAAGTAAAAGGTCCGTCACCAGAGGAAATAATAATAATAAAAATAATAATCCATATAACTTACTGGAGGATTGTGATTCTGAAGAATTCGACCTTCCCATTTTGGGTTGAATATTTTCTACTCCAGGATTCGATTCCAGATCCAAGGAAGTCAAATAATTAATATTGCTTGAATCTGAAATGAACCCTCAATAAGTGTCATATGTAATAATAATTTTTATAGAACTTCATTTTTAATACATTTAATTGTTTTATGTTTACTCTTAATTTGAATTGAAAATATTTTATTGCAAATTACTGGTGTTAAAAAATTATTAAATTGTTTCATTTTACGATAGAAAAATGTTTAAATGTAAGATGTATCGATATGAGAAATAGCCATTTTAAAAATTAAAAATATTGTTTCCTTGTAAAACACGATATATTTTTTTAATATAAATATTTCTTTGCTGTGAAAAATTCTATAAAATGTAATTAATTTCGTGGTGCTATTTTGCTTAAATAGTTTTCAAAATTTTTTTTGTTTACGATTCATTTTATCACTTTCCTTTATTTATCTATAAATCTTAGGTGTACTTAATTTTTTTTTCTTTCAAAAAACGTTATTCTAGTCTGTGTAAACTATTTATGTGCATTAGTTTAACCTTAAATTACAACTGAAGTAGCATTAATAGTGTCACTTTAAAAGAAAAAAAATATGTGATTTCAATTCCATAATATTCAGAATATATTCTAATATATTAAACAAATAACAAAAGTTACAAATTAAGCATAGTAGGAAATGTATTGCCATTATAGAATTTTATTGTTGGTGTTTTACTCGGATACAAACTCATTGTATTTCCTTGTCTTTGCGAATGATGAATTTAAAAAAAAACTTATTTCCAGATATAATTGGATTAAAATAACAATGTATTTAATAATCATGAAAATTTAATAATCAAACTCTAAAATATTCATGGCAATAAGCGTGATGAAAAATATCTAAATTTAAGTAGAACACTTGTAGCAATTTACGTAACGAAAAAAGCATACACGAAAAAAAAAAAAGGAAAAAAATTCGATTTCAAAAGGAGAAAGTCCATTATTTTAATCACCTGTACCTTTAAGTATGACAATCACTTTTACTTAAAGATCACGTTAACCACATAATTTCATTGTCATATACTCTAAAACGGGTTTTCGTGAGTTTTGGGATAGAAAGACTTAATCATTCAGTAGTATTTTTAACACTACTGAACTCTACTTTGAACTCTACTTTGCTTTAATTTAACTGTTTAGGGTTGTGAATGTAATGAAATTGCTAAATAGTTTACCATTATAATGGTAAATAGTTTACCATTTGTGCAACTGTTTGTTTTCAATAAATTGTATCATATAAAAAATTTTTTTTAAAACTTTGCTGTTGAAATTGTAGAGGTAAAAATTTAAATACTACATGAAATAAAATTTATTTACAATATAAAACTATCTCCCTTACATTTCATATAAAATTTGTAAGAGTCAAATTGGATTACTCGCAATTTAAAAAGAAAAATCATGCTTCAAACTTTGGGAAAACATGCTATTTGTATTTAAAAATACTTTAAAAGTTGATTCTTTTTTACATAACAGTGACTGCGGCAGTGTTCAAACGTTGGCATCAAAAATCATCTTTGTAGATGAACGTAAGCTTTTTTTCTTATCGCATAAACTTAACCTAACTATTTATGAGAGGGGGAACAAAACCAAACGGTTAGTTGTAAGAAAAAAAATTCTTCTTTTTTATCATTCAAAAATAAAAAAGAACCAATTCTTAACAAGTCATCCACTTGTAATTGATATATATTTTTATGGATACAAACATCATCCTTTCTGGTAGCTTTAATTCTGATCTTTCAACGTCAATTTTGACATTTAAAATTTTTGAAGTTGTAACTATGAGAGGAATTTCTGTTTTTATACACGTATAACATAAGTAAATCAGAAATTTTTACAACAGTATTATTCAACATTTCAAAGCTGAAACGCCACTTATTTCAACCCTTATTAAATGTTTTTATAGAGTTATATTAGAATGACTTTAAAAAAAAAATTTAAAGAAAATAAAAAGTACAAGCACATTCATTCCCGCCCTCATAATTCAGTTTTCCAAGAATCAATCAGAAGATTCTCGCATCGCTTCACTGATTTTATTTGTTATCAACGAATGTGGAAGGAATGAAAAAGAGAATGTTCCCCGAATTCTTATATAACTGGTGCAATGTGGATCTCAGCTAGAGGAGGCGTGTCTGTATAGGCTACCACGTAATTTAAAGTTTAATATTTTTAGTAAGAAATATTTCTGTGCAAGTCTTTTACTTGTCCATAGTTTGTTTTTACTTTCTTTGAAATATTGTTGAAAATGAAAAAAGTAAGTCTGGGAAAAAGAGTGATGATCGAATTTACTTTTTTATTTTGAGCCTGACAAATTCGATTCGAATTAATAATCGAAATCTGAGCTAAATTTTTCTGGTGAAATTTGTTTATAATGCCGTTAGTTATAAGCAAGTATTGGCTTATAAAATATTTTTTATTATCACTTGGAGAAAATAATTAAAAAATAATCTAATTTAAGTGTCATTATGATTTTAAAAGTTTAGATTTTACGGAAAATGGTTACTTTTAAAGAAAATCATGCGATAATTTAAATATCATTCATGTGTTAGATTAAAATGTATAAAATTTCAGCAATACAGTTATTTTTCAGTTATTGAGTTCTTCAGTCTCTATTATAAATTTAGTAGTTCAGCGTGTCAAACATTTTATTCAATTTTCTTAATTTTAATTATCAAGGAACTCTATAAATTAACTCCTAATTAACTCAATTGTTAAAATTTTCACCTAAATAAAAAAGGGAAATGATTTTTTATTAATTAATTTTAGGTGAATCTTTAGTATTGTAAAATTCCAGATCATTTAAATTTCGCCAAAAATAAATGTTTAAAAAAACACTGTATAAAATTATCGATTGTTGCAGTAAAAGATTCAGGATTATTGATATACCACATCATTCAAGTTTTCAATAACGTTGAAAGAAATTTTTCTTCCCTTTTTTCAATAGACTAAAATAGATTTTTTTTAAATTTAAATTATAACTGTGTTTAGATTTTACCTAAAACTAAGTTAGAAAAATTTATAAATAAAATCTAGTAAAAAAGGATACATTGTCTTAATACGATTTTGAAATAAGTTGGTGAAAAAACCATTAGATCTCAAAATTTATTTTGATATGCAAATGGTTTTAAATTATTCTCTTTAAGCATCTATAAAATTTTAAATTTCCGAGTGAATCTAGTTATCACAAAAAGAATGACTGTTTAAAAGATCTTTAAATTGCAAAAGCTCTTTAAGAATAAATCTATAATCTCGTATTTAAACATTTTGCTAGAATTTTTAAAAGAAAAATTTAATTGCACGTACTTTAATTTTTCTCCTCTTGATTATTTCTATCAACATGATACTAAATGAATATAATTGTAGTTTACTTACGTTTAGACTTTTACTTTAACTTAGAGGCCCATTGACTTAGCGTCAGTTTTCGAATTTCAATTCTTAATATACTCTTTTTAAAAAAATTTTTTTTAATATTAAAGCTTCTTTATTTAAATTAACTTCTTTATTTAAATTTACTAACAGCAAGACGTTCTTTACAAAATAGGTTGCAATTTAACTAACATTTATAATTTTCAATGACTTCTAAAATACCATACTAACTGAATACATAATTAAAAACGATTTAGTAGCATTAATTAAAACTTCCATAGTTAATGGATAAAATGCAACTAAAAGCGAATTTCATATTTAAAAAAAAAAAAAAATCAAATATAATTTTCTCCCACTGTGAGATGTTATACCAAGAATAGGAAATAACATTAGTTTTAGATTTTGAGTACTTGGGTATTTTATTTTACTATAAAAATTATTTTACTTTCACTTTTATTAGTTTAGTAGTACGCATATACCAATTAATATATTGTCATCAAAAAAGTTTAAATAAAATATGTGAAACATTCATAAAATTATTCGCAATTTAAACAAAATTTTGTTTAAATAGGATCAATAATTATTTGCCCGGAGTCACATAAAACAATTTCAATAACTTACTTTTACACGAGTAACAGTCCATCATAGATGTGTTTTGACGAAACGAAGTTCTTAAATCCATCGGTCCTATAACGGACCGATAGTTTATATCCATATAATTTCTAAAATTCGGCATCATGTAATCCCGAAAGAATAACTTGGCAATTTCAAAATATTTTCCTTAACGTTGCGATTTACACAATCCCTTAATGAGCAACATTCTATCATAACACGCTCCAACATTTCACATTTTCGCAGCATTACATTTAAAGGTGAGGCATAAATCCCGTTGAATTCGCGAAGTGCACATCTTTCTGCGTTGCGGGGTTTACAACTGAGTCTATAAATTTCGTTAGCGATATTCTGGGGTGAAAAGATAGGGAGGAGTTGGCAGCTACCTACCCCCGTCATGTGATTCCCTTTTTCAATAGCTCTTTCTCTCCCATTGCTTTTTGGCATTTGTTAAAATCCAATCATATAGTAGATGGACTCAGATACAAAAAAAGAAATAGATTCGATAAAAAACACTTAAAATATTAGATATGTAATTAAATTTTTTACAAGATGGAAAAAACAACAAAGCAGTATTTTTAACACTACTGAACT